AAAAAAAAAAAAAGGGCCAGGTGCAGTGGCTCACTCATGTAATCCTAGCACTCTGGGAGGCCAAAGCGGATGGATTGTCTGAATTCAGGAGTTTGAGACCTGCCTGAGCAAGAGCAAGACCCCATTTCTACAAAAATAGAAAAAAGTAGCTGGTGCACACCTCTAGTCCCAGCTACTTGGGAGGCAAGAGGTACTTGAACCCAAGAGTTGGAGGTTGCCATGAGTTGTGACACCACAGCACTCTACTAAGGGTGACAAAATGAGACTGTCTCAACAACAACAAAAAAAAAGACTAAATTCAACCCTACATAAGCTCACTGGGCAGTGAGAAGAGATCCCGTACCCAGGATCCCTCAGCAGCAACCTCTGCCTCCAGGGTTGCCTGGAACTGACCAAGGAAACTTACCAGGGGTACTTTCCGGAGAGAGCCCAGGACTGTGGAGGCTAGACAGCCCATGGCTGTGAGAGTGGGGAACTCGCCCTCAGACAGAATGTGCTGGTCACCCTTGAAGTCCTTCTCATCAAACAGGATCCAGCTGGGAAGGAAGAAGAATGCAAAATATGAGGAGGTATTGGAGCCTACCCTGACCTCCAATGGCCTGTCCAGGCTCCCCACAAGAATGGACAGACTTGGTCTTGTTCTCTTAGCCCAGGAGAAGTCAGGGTTGAATAGGCACTACAGCAGCTGGGACTAAGGTCAGACTTAAGAAAATTCTAACTGAAATTATACTACCCCCAAGGAGGAAATTTTGGCAAAATTAACTCCATGGCAATTACACAGCAATCCTGTATCTAGCCATCTATCCTATGGACACCCTTCAAAAACATGGAATAACACATGCATAAGGCTATTCATTATAGCACTGTTTATAACAGCTAAGAGGGTAACACCCAAGTGTTATTGGGGATTGGTCTTTCTATGAGTAGAATATGAATGTTTTGACATAGTAACTAAGAAAGTTACATGAAGGCTATGTTAACCAGTTTGATGGAAGTGTCTTGGATTGTGT